AGTGGGAATTGTTTCATTATAACCTGTATAACACAAATAAAAACTATAGAAACTGGCGTTTAGGTATATTTTACCTGGACCAATATATGATTGAAGTAAAATATAGATATTTATCAGTTCCCTAAAGTGTTCGCATCGTATCAGCATCCATCCGTGTTACACTGGAGCTATAAGCTGCTTGTAACATGTCGGGTAGAATCTCAATGTTCGCCCGTCTATGTGCCCACTAACTGATTCTTGATCATATCGATTTGAACGTGACCTTTAAGCTGCTCGACTTCACTTTCATTTGATAACATTATATTTGTTCTCAACTAGACACGCGCATGGATCACCTAAGTAAACCCGCCAAAATTGCATATAGTTTCTATTGTTTTTGATTCCGCTGATAGTGATTTAAAAGTTCATGACAGCTTGCTACTCTATGTAGGCTTAACCCTATTTTGAGCAAGCTGGGTAAGTTGGTGGGTGTGTTGGTGCGAAATTGACCTCTCAACTGTAACCTTTTAGGTCTTGATTTTATGTTTGAATTTAGCCATTCCTAATGTTCATCTCAAATAGTTCGCTAACGCATTGAAGCATACGAGCACCATGAATACTTCGTCAGTTGCATTTATTCTTTGTACCTTCAGACGGCTACCACTAACTCAGAGCACCATGCGACCGCACTTTCTTACTCTTAAAGAAGTTTATAGACGGCTTACGCACTGGAGCCTCCTCCCTCGCCGTATCAATAATCTCATTAAATATGCCAAATAAATCGCCATCTATATAGTTGTGATCGACTACACTCACTAAGTAGTATTTGCTAATCATCGACTCCAAAACATCTCGCGCTTTTGTACCGGCCTCGAGTTTGTCACTCCACATAACTCTCCACAATCCGAAAGCCTGTGATGCAAAGAAAAACGCATAGGATGGACGAAGAAATAATGAGAGTAGAAACCAGAGAAGAGAAGGTCATAATGTTACGTACAAGTACTTGCTTACGAGGTGATATTTTTTTTAGTATGAGCCTGCTACTTCGACTTATATCTTGCGAAGGCGGCTGGAGACATGATGGAATCGAATCCAAAGGCACATCAGCAGACCGAGGCTATTGTGAGAATATTCGTTTACATCTCACTAACACGAGCATCGCACCGAACTCAATATCTGTAAACTCTACTCAACCCACACCTAGGCCGCGAGACAAATCATAGGCACAAAGCACATACGCTTGTGACAGTACGATGCCATGTTAAGCAACGCATAGCATCATGGGTGTAACGTATTCTACAGCGCTACCTGCAACAGTCACATGTACAATCAGATTCAGTTGCAATATATGACTATCGTGCTAGATCTCGAGTTTTTCACACCTCTTCGCGCCAAGCAGTAAAGCTCTCCTGGTCCGTAACGGTTGGTTGCACAATCTCGCTTTCGGGAAACACACCCCACGTCAATGCCTGCACACGCCCTTGTGATTTGTGTTGCCGCCTCTCGCCCTGCAGATGTTCGATGCAAAAGTGAAAAAGGGAGTACAAGCTGTGGTAAGTCACCTGAGTGCATTGAAACAAGAAAGCGTAATATCAACACCAATTCGCACAGATGCTACTAACAACCAACGGGTACACGGGTTCAGAAATAGAACACACCTTCTCATTCTCGGCCAATAAACTCATGGTGGGATATTTGCCCAGTATTTGGAATAACGCTTCCAGTTTGGCAGCGCTGCAGAAAAACTCCAGGTACGCCTTTTGGTACACCACACCGTCTGCCGGACCCCACCCGAAAATCTGTTGAAGTACATTGAAAATATACAACCGTTATTGAACGTAGCAAAGAACGGTAGAGCCGCATTTGGCGAGAAATCCCCCTTTTTTTTACGGAGAGAAAAGGCATTTCTAAATAGAGATTGATAGTATGTACGCATCTGACTATCTTGAATGTAAAATAGAAGCCGCCACAAAATATATTGCCGCTCGTATTTTATGTGTAATACTGTATATATACATATATACATATAAAAATATATACATATATACATCCATACACACACACACACATATATATATATATAAAGAACAAACAAAAAATACATAGGTATAAGTATGAATAACTTTTACTTTGTATATATTAATATGCATACATACGTACACATAAATACCATATTGAATAATAGAATACGCAACCTATAAGACACTGATGAAAGCCTCACTAACCACATGCATACTTAGTGTCAGCGTTAAATAAACTGCGTTAAATAAACTGTGCGTTAGATAAACTGTAGATAGGTACTTACCGGATCCGATGAAGGCACAGCATTGATTCGTGGTTGACTGTTAATCGTCATAAAACCATTATCATTGAGCTCTTTCAAACTAGACGATATCTGTTCCGTCTCTTTTGCGATGGGCTCGTCATGCCACGGGAGCACCAAACTGGGGAATTTACCTACACGCATAGGAAAAGGTATGGTGTTTAGTCTGAATTTCCATGTACAAAGTTCTATACATGTACAGTATATACGAACACGAATTCACATGGCGTATAATAAAGCTAGATTGTTCCAGCAACCAGCAACTACAATATTGGATCGATGATCATTGAAACAGAAGTTCCACACTTTCGATATGTACTAAGTTACCTTCAACACCACATACAGATTTTGAGAGCCTTCCCCTCCATCAAAGATTTATTCAACTTCACTAGTGTCAGAAATGAGTTCTGTATCCCCCGACAACTCATATCTGAGAACCCTATGCTGTATAGCCACACTACTCAATGACGGTTGCATGTGAGGCCTACATTCTCAGTTGGGTGTCAATCTCTGATCACAAAGTGAGAAGCGGTCTCATCGCGTGCGATTGCATTTGACACACAAAAAAATACTTATCACACCTGCCAAGTATCCAGTACAACCAAACCACAAACCATTGTGCAGCCAGATCACCATCACGTGATCGTAACGATCAGACACCGTTTCACGCATTGACAAGATCAATATCACACCTCTAGCAGCTGCGTTCCTCCACCACAAAGTAAATGGATGCAATGCTTACACAACACTGGAAGCTCAATTGAACCACACTGTATCGTGTCAGGAATGTCGAACACACCTTCAATGAACGCTGACATGATACGAAACACATCTCTCTCCGACCTGATAGTCACCCCGCACTTCGATACCGTCTTGTCACCTGCGGATGTGTGCAACTGCACATATGATTGTATATACACAAGTAAATAAATAGAGCACCATCAAACATATAAGTTTAGATACATGAAAGTAAACGTTTTAATGCCAATGGTTTTGTGTTGCTTCATAGAATAGACAGAGTGGGTAGACAATCAGCCGAAGCATATGTGGCACA